AACAATCTCCCATATTCTTCATATGTCTGGGATATGGGGTAGAGTGACAAGACGGAAGCCTTTTCTACGAAGAAAAACATCCAAGCCCGGCTAAATTTTGCAAAATCACATTTGAAATTTCCCAAAAGCTTGAGGGAAAATGTGTTCTGGTCTGATGAAACCAAGGGTGAACTTTATGGCTGTAATTCCAAAAGATATGTTTGGTGCAAAAACAACACCGCACATCACTAAAAGCACACCATACCCACCGTGAAGCATGGTGGTGGCAGCATCATGCTTTGGGGCTGTTTTTCTTCAGCTGGAACTGGGGCCTTAGTAAAGTTAGAGGGAATTATGAACAGTTCCAAATACCAGTCAATATCGACACAAAACCTTCAGACGTCTGCTAGAAAGCTGAACATGAAGAGGAACTTCATCTTTCAGCATGACAACGACCCAAAGCTTCCATCCAAATCAACAGAGGAATGGCTTCACCAGAAGAAGAGGAAAGTTTTGGAATGGCCCAGCCAGAGCCCAGACCTGAATCTGATGGGAAATCTGTGAGGTGATCTAAAGAGGGCTGTGCAGAGGAGATGGTCTTGCAATCTGACAGATTTGGGGTGTTTTTGCAAGGAAGAGCACTCAAATATCCAGATGTGCCATACCCAAAAAGACAGCGTGCTGGAATAACATCAAAAGGGGCTTCAACAAAGGATTAGTTCAAGGGTGTGAACACTTCTGCAACCAAATTATTATTTTTTTGTTTATTTTCCCTTCCCTAAAAGATTTCAATTTGTTGTTCAATTGAGTTGTACAGTTTATAAGTCACATTAAAGGTGGAAAAGGTTCTGTGATGGAAGTGCATGACACATGACATTACTCTTCTTACAGGTTTTTTTATACCGCAGTAGGGGTTCATATCTATGACTTCTCTTTCTAGGGTTGTGCAGTAAGGGAGAAGACCTCTGGGGAGTATTTGACCTCCAGTAGACATCATCATAGGTCAAAAGGACCAAGAGGGACTCAGAGACACATCGCTGTCCCTACATCTATGTGCCTTATATCTGAGAGAAGAAATTATGAGAAGATTCTAGAAGTCACCCAGAAGATGATGGAGCTGCTGACAGGAAAGGTGAGCGGTGCCGGGAATTCTGGGACATTCTCCAGTAACAGACAAGGGATGTGTCTGGATGGTGAATGTATCATTGTGTGTGTCAGGTTCCTATAAGGTGTCAGGGGGTGTCACTGTCTATTTCTCCATGGAGGAGTGGGAGTATTTAAGAGGACACAAGGATCTCTACAAGGACGTCATGGTGGAGGATCAGCCGCCCCTCACACCACCGGGTAAGAGGAGACATGGTAGACCAGCAATGTTGAGATGCCAGTATGAGTGGAAGAAGGCTTTCAGTTTTCTTTCTGTTTGCAGATTTTTCACCAATGGAGAAAAAAAAATTAGTAGGACAAGCAATGCACTCCCCTACAGCCAAGGGCTCTTCACCGACCTTTCTAAGCTGCTGCCCCTCCATCTGACACTGCTGTCTGGATGTCCCGGGTCCTTCTTCCCCAAACCTTCCCACCAGGTACAGCACCCCTCTGCCTCCCTTTCATCCACCTCCCTTTCTTTTTACTCATCCTGAATCCATTCTGGCACATCCCTCACAGCTCACAGTACCCATTCTGCTGTCATGAACGCCTCCTCTTCTTCATCAATCCAAGCCACTCCTCCGCTACACAAGATGACCGGAGTCCCCAATATACGCCATCACCTTCACAGTATACTCAGCTCCACTACACAGGACCACTTGTTCTGGAATGGGCTCACGACTGAGATCACTAGACCAAAAGTAGATGACTTCTGACCCCGATTGTGTAAACTGTTTTGAACCTTCATTTTGTAGATCTATCTCCAACCGATGGACACCGTTTGGAAGGACATCTCAGGGTATGATGCCAAGAGATAATGTTAGCTCACAGTGTGCTACAGATGTTGAATGCCGGAGAAATCCAACCGCAGAGAGGCCTTACTCCAGCCAAAGCTATACCCGGAAATCCTCTTTTGTCCAACATGGGAAGCTTTCCGAGGGAAGGAGCTCATTGTCATGTTCAAAGTGTGGAAAATCTTTGGAGATGAAATCTGAACTTCGGATACATCTCAGGGACCACACCGCTGAGAACCTGAAACGTTCAAATGGTGAGAACTCTCTCCCAAACCAACTAGTTAAAGACCAGAAAGTCCACACTGCTAGGAGGACCTTTTCATGTTCTCTGTGTGGAAGACATTGTGAAGGAAGTTCACCTGAAGCTAAACACTAGCGACAAAGCCATTTATCTGTCAAGAGTGTGGGAAACATTTTGTTGACAAAGAACATCTTCATGCACACCAAAGAATGCACACAGGTGAGCGTCCTTTTTCATGCCCTGAGTGTGGGACATGTTTCACTTGAGAAGGAGACCTTCTTAGCCACCAGAGAATTCATACAGGCGAGCGTCCCTATTCCTGTCCAGAGTGCAGGAAATGTTTCACTAGGGAAGGAGACCTTCTTAGCCACCAGAGAATTCACGCAGGTGAGTGTCCTTTTTCATGCTTAGAGTGTGGGAAATGTTTCACTAGAGAAGGAGACCTTCTTAGACACCAGAGAATTCATACAGGCAATCGTCCTTATTCCTGCCCAGAGTGTGGGAAATGTTTCAGTCAGAAAAAAAATACCTGACTGAACACCAGAGAAGTCACACAGGTGAGCGTCCTTTTTCATGTTCGGAGTGTGGGAAATGTTTCACTAGAGAAGGAGACCTTCTTAGACACCAGAGCATTCATACAGGTGAGCGTCCTTTTTCCTGTCCAGCGTGCGGGAAATGTTTCATAAGGGAAGAAGCCCTTTCTAGACACCAGAGAATTCATACAGGTGAGCGTCCTTATTCCTATCCAGAGGGTGGGAAATGTTTCAGTCAGAAAAAATACCTGACTGAACACCAGAGAAGTCACACAGGTGAGGGTGTTTTTCCATGTTCAGAGTGTTCGTTTGCACCAGAAAATTCACGCAGGTGACACGTCCGTCAGATTGCCAGACAGTGAAGCGTGATTGGTCACTCAAGAGAACATGTCTCCACTGCTCTAGAGTCCAGTGGTGGCATGCTTTACAACACGGCACTGACGCGTTGCATTGCACTTGGTGATGGAAGGCTTGGATGCAGCTGCTCGGCCTTGGAAACCCATTCCATGAAGCTCTCTACGCACTGTTGTTGGGCTCATCTGAAGGCCACACCAAGTTTGGAGGTCTTTAGCTATTGACTCTGCAGACAGTTGGTGACTTCTGCACACTGTGCGCTTCAGCATGCGCTGACCCCGTCCTGTCATGTGACGTGGCCTACCACTTGGTGGCTGAGTTGCTGTTGTTCCCAGTTGCTTCCACTTTGTTATAATTCCACTAACAGTTGAGCGTGGAATATTTAGTAGCCAGGAAATGTCACGGATGGACTTATTGCACAGGTGGCCACCTATCACAGGACCATGCTTGGAGTCACTGAGCTCCTGAGAGCGACCCATTCTTTCACCAATGTTTGTAGAAGCAGTCTGCATGCCTAGGGGCTTGATTGTATACACCTCTGGCCATGGAGGGGATTGGAACACCTGAATCACGTGATTTGGAGGGCGGGGCCAATACTTTTGGCAATATAGTGTGTGGCAATCATGCACACAGATGGATGTGAACCTCCATTTTGGCAAAGAATCTTCCCTCTTGTATCATTTCTACTCCCAAATCAGCTTTGTATCATTTCTACTCCCAAATCAGCTCTTTGCTGTGTTATTGCTCTCTGCATATTTATATATATATTGGCTACATCGTTTTCTGTAAATATTTTTATTGCACCCTTTTGACCTTTTAGTAATAAATCTTACTTTCTGAAAGTGTTGAACTGTTTCTAAAGCTCTTTAATGCAAACTAAGAATCCCTGCCTCTGAAGAGCGCTACTGTGTGTTTTAAACTTCGGTATATCTCTGCCTGCGGTGACAGTGGTATACCAACGCTTATGCAAACATCATGGTGTTATTGCTGATATTTCCGAGTTTTCTCTTTCTCTGTACAAAAAGGAGGTGGTGGCAGTGTGAAGGGTTAATTGCGTAATTAACCTGACCCATTAACAATCCCTCCCAGGCTGCAGGTACACAGGTTGTGGTCCTTTAGCTGGAAAATCTGTGTGCAGGGTGCAGCTGGGCGTGGCATTGTTACGCATGTGACAGCGCAGTTTTAGATTGGCTAGTTCTTCGGTCACGAGTTTGGTGAGAAGGGCTGCGATCGTCACATTGTGTATATGAGGCCTGTCTGGAAAATATCCAGCCAAGTAATATGAAAAATAGAGACTTTTTTTGAAGGAGATGCAAGAAACATTGTGCATAGGACAATGACACCTCAGTCACCTTCAATATAGGCACCTTGGGACCTCACGCAGTTGTTTTTGGAACTCTTGTGCCTTGTAGATCTTTTTTCTGTATGTCGTACTCTCTTATTTTGTCCAATAAAAATATGAAACGCAAAAATCAAACCACTATTCACATTCATGGAGGTACTCCGGTTTCCTCCCACACTCCAAAGACATGCTGGTAGGTTAATTGGATCCTGTCTGAATTGGCCCTAGTATGTGTATGACCTTAGAATGTACGCTCCTCGGGGGCGGGGACTGATGTGAATGTACAATATATATGTAAATCACTGCGTAAATTGACAGCGTTATATAAGTACCTGAAATAAATAAATAAACATTTCACGTTTTTGAACTTTAGCACAAGATCCATCTTTTTTTTTTGGTTTTTCATGGCCTGGACTTTAACCATGGTATAAGGTTCACGTCCAATATTCTATGGAACACAGTGGGAGAATGCAGGACAAGCAGTAGCCAAAGAGATGACAAACGTAGACTGCAGTTTATATACTCCACAAGGTGGGGAGCTCGCATATCATTGGTAAAAATCACAAATGAGAAGTGATGTAATGTAGAGACAGGAAGTGATGTATGAAACAAACAGGAAGTTCCGGGTGAGGGGTAAGAAAGGAGGAAGTAGAGAGGAGACATTGCTGGAACTGGCAGCAGAGGAGGTAATGAGATGTTATTTTGTATTTACACCCAATAACCCCCCCATCATATCCATCCTTTTCCTTCATCGTCATGTCCGTCCTCTTCCTCCATAGTCACCTTGACGTTTTTTATGGTTTATAGACCGGATACATCCTAAATATAGAACCATTTATCCAACTGTCCATCCACAGCCTCTGGTTTATAGACCGGATACACCCTAAATATAGAACCATTTATCCAACCGTCCATCCAGATCCTCTGGTTTATAGACTGGATACATCCTATATATATATTTATTGAAATATATTTTGAAATATATAGAATATGGCCAAAATTGTAGTATTTCAAATATATCTTTCTTCCACGTGGGTATTTCTGTCTTCATTGTGGAGGTTTTTATCGGCAGATCTGTCTCAGAGGAGAGAGGTTTTTGCCCTCCAATTCTATCTAAACCCAAAATAAAATGTTTTGATGAACTTGGCCTTTAACATGGAAATCTTTAATTTTCTCTCAAATGCATTGATGTGGCCTTAAATGTCATATGAGGAAGTGTCAGAACTGTGGAGGAACTCTGTGCAGACATTCTTCATCCCGGTACAGTGCAGGTAATTCTCAGTTTATTTTCCATCTACAGAGAGGAGAGATTTCATGACCACATCAATGAGGATGGATGAGGACCAAAATCATGTGTCGGAGAGGATATTGGACCTCACCCTGGAGATCATCTACCTGCTTACCGGAGAGGTGAGGAGGATTCTGGGAAGATCACCTTTATTGCTGGACATTTAAACTTCTCTAGACTCCCAGGAAGTTTGTAGTGATAATTATTATCATTTGTCTTTACACAGCATTATAAAGTAGTGAAGAAAATATCTGGTGAGCCTTTACCACCCAGCAGCCGTCTTCACAGGATATCACCCATCTCAGTGCCTCCACCTCACTGCCTGACAACAGAGGGAACCTGTGCCAAGAAGATTCTAGAAGCCACCAAGAAGATGATGGAGCTGCTGACAGGAGAGGTGAGCGGTGCCGGGAATTCTGGGACATTCTCCAGTAACAGACAAGGGATGTGTCTGGATGGTGACTGTATCATTGTGTGTGTCAGGTTCCTATAAGGTGTCAGGATGTCACTGTCTATTTCTCCATGGAGGAGTGGGAGTATTTAGAAGGACACAAGGACCTCTACAAGCACGTCATGATGGACCATCAAGCTTCTCTTCATTCTGAAAAGATGGAAAAAAAGAACATTTATTTTAGGGATATGATTCTAAAGAACACCCTGGAGATCATCTACCTGATGACAGGAGAGGTGAGGAGAATTTGAAAGTGTACTATGACGTCACTCTTACCTCTATAAATCAAATGTAGACCTGACCGGAGAGGTGAGGACTTTAATATCATTGTATTATTATGTATGTAACACAGGACTGTTCTGTAGTTATGAAGACATCTATTGAGAACTTTTCAGAAGTAAGAAGTCAAAGCTTGTCCTCAGGGCTGAGTCCCATCCGAATACCTACACGTCCGTTCCTACGTCATGAGAGAGAGAACAAGCAGAAGGTCCTAGAAGTCACCCAGAAGATGATGGAGCTGCTGACAGGAGAGGTGAGCGGTGCCGGGAATTCTAGGAAATTCTCCAGTAACAGACAAGGGATGTGTCTGGATGGTGACTGTATCATTGTGTGTGTCAGGTTCCTATAAGGTGTCAGGGTGTCACTGTCTATTTCTCCATGGAGGAGTGGGAGTATTTAGAAGGACACAAGGATCTCTACAAGGATGCCATGATGGACAATCAGCCGCCCCTCACATCACCGGGTAAGAGGAGACTTTATTGTAAAGGAGAGAGCAGTACGGAGGGTCCACCTAGATCCCCCATCATCTGATAAACACATAGAAACAATGGATTCAGTCAGTATGTGTGTTTCCTACAGATGGATCCAGTCATGGGAACCCACCAGAGAGATGTCCCCGTCCTCCGTATTCCTGGGATTCCGAACAGGAAGATCACACCATCCCTCACCATCATCAGGTAGGTGGATCCAGTAATGGGAACCCACCAGAGAGATGTCCCTGTCCTCCGTATTCCTGGGATTCTGAACAGGAAGATCACACCGTCCCTCACCAATATCAGGTAGGTGGATCCAGTAATGGGAACCCACCAGAGAGAGATGTCCCCATCCTCCGTATTCCCGGGACTCCACACAGGAAGGTCACACCATCATCAGGTAGATCGATCCAGTAATGGGAACCCACCAGAGAGATGCCCCCGTCCTCTGTATTCCCGGAATTCCACACAGGAACATCACACCACCCCTCACCATCATCAGGTAGGTGGATCCAGTAATGGGAACCCACCAGAGAGATGTCCCCGTCCTCTGTATTCCTGGGATTTCACACTGGAAGGTCACACCATCCCTCACCATCATCAGGCAGATTGATCCAGTAATGGGAACCCACCAGAGAGATGTCCCCGTCCTCTGTATTCCCGGGATTCCACACAGGAAGGTCACACCTTCCCTCACAATCATCAGGTAGATGGATCCAGTAATAGGAACCTACCAGAGAGATGTCCCCGTCCTCTGTATTCCTGGGATTCCACACAGGAAGGATCACACCGTCCCTCACCATCATCAGGTAGATGGATCCAGTAATGGGAACCCACCAGAGAGATGTCCCCATCCTCTGTATTCCCGGGATTCCACAAAGGAAGGTCACACCATCCCCCATAATCATCAGGTAGGTGGGACTGAGGATGTAGAAATTAATAAACTGTATGAGAAGATGATATTCTTTTTACAGTAGAGATAACATTTCCTGGTGTTCTATCATTTTGGGGTTTAGAGTGAAGAACTGAAAGACATCAAAGTTGAGGTTAAAGAGGAAGAAGAAGAGACGTTGGTGAGTGGAGATCAACAGTCTATGGAGGAGGGGGAGATGGTTGTGAAAAGCAAGCAGGAGGAATCTTCTCTAGATATTGGCACGGGTAAGTAGTAAACACCAAATGTACTGAATACATGTTCCTGTTAAATAAATGAATGTAAAGTAAGTGATGTAATCAACCGGCTTGGAGAAGGAATAGATTTCCTCATTATTTTTATTATTATACAGGATTTAATTGGCGTACGGTACTTTACAATATAAAGGGAGACAATACAGTCACCATACAATTTAAGATGAGGGTTAGGAGTGGCCTGCTCATGAAATCTTAAACTCTAGAGGGAAGTGATACAAAGTGTGTGGAGATGAGTTGATGGAGAAAGTGAATGTTCAGTTGTTAGGTAGAGGCAAGATAGACATTACTGAGGACATGAGTTTCGGAGATTGTCTAAAGGCAGAAAGAGTAAAAGCTAGCCAGACAGATTGGGGTACAGAGTTCCAGAGAATGAGAGAGGCTGTAGAGAAATCCTGGGGGTGAGCACGGGAAGAGGTGACAAGGGAACTAAAGAGGGTGGTCTTGATAGTAGCGGAAAGAACAGTTTAAGTAAACTTTTTTGATGAGGTTGGCGAAGTAGCTGGAGGCAGAGTTGGGGTTGGCTTTGTATGTTGTAGTTAGTATTTTGAATTTTATTTATTGGGTGAGCAGAAGCCACTTGAAGGTTTGTCAGAGAGGGATGGCAGACAATGCTTGGTTGGTAACGTTGATGAGTCTGGCAAATACTGTGCACCATATGAAAGGTCCATCTCCATTCCTCGATATAATGTCATGTTCCCAACAAATGAAGAGATACTGGACACCATATGAAAGGTCCATCTCCATTCCTCAATATAACGTCATGTTCCCAACAAATGAGGAGGAGATACTGGACACCATATGAAAGGTCCATCTCCATTCCTCAATATAACATCATGTTCCCAACAAATGAGGAGGAGATACTGGACACCATATGAAAGGTCCATCTCCATTCCTCAATATACCGTCATGTTCCCAACAAATGAGGAGACACTGGACACCATATGAAAGGTCCATCTCCATTCCTCAATATAATGTCACGTTCCCAACAAATGAGGAGGAGATACTGGACACCATATGAAAGGTCCATCTCCAGTGATCACCATAAAAGGTTAAACACCTCAATGTTTGAAATAAACAAGGATTCGGTAATCTTCTCATACAATATATATTTGTTACACGAATACAACAATAAATGTTGGCTACTTCTCATTTATTTACAATTGTTCTCCAACAGATGGTCGTTATGTGCGGAATACGTCTAAGGGAGGTCGATATTCTCCAGGATTGGATCCCATTCCTCAGGATCTTCCTCACAGACCTCACTGTTTGGAAACCTCAAACGATCCCTCTAATCCTGAGGAATACTCTGTAAGATCTCACACTTTGTCTTCAGACAACCATTGGAGATTTCACAGTGCGGACCGACCAACGGATCCATCCAATCCTAAGAAATCTGTGAGCCAAGAAGGACCTTATACAGGGGAGAGCTCGTTCTCATGTTTGGGGTGTCGGAAAACCTTCAAGAGGAAACCTGAATTTCTTAAACATCTCAAATCTCACACCAGTGCAACCTTTTCATGTTCCGAGTGCGGGAAATCCTTCACTGAGAAAAAAGTATTTGTCGTACACCAGAGAATTCACACCGGCAAGCGGCCTTATTCGTGTTCGGAGTGCGGGAAGTGTTTCACTGAGAAGGGAAACCTTCTTACCCATCTGAAAATCCACACGGGCGAGCGCCCCTTTTCGTGTTCCGAGTGTGGGAAATGTTTCACTCTGAAAGGAGACCTTCTTCGTCACAAGCGAATACACACGGGCGAGCGTCCTTATTCATGTTCTGATTGTGGGAAAGGTTTCACTCAGAAAGGGGCCCTTGTTATACACCAGAGAATTCATACTGGCGAGCGTCCTTTTATATGCTCAGAGTGCGGAAAAGGTTTTGCCGGGAAAGGAAAGCTTCTTAGACACCAGAGAAGTCACTCCGTCGAACATCCTTTCTCATGTTCCGAGTGTGGGAAATGTTTCACTGAGAAAGGGAAACTGATTAGTCACCAAAGAGTTCACACGGGTGAGCGTCCTTTTTCATGCTCGGAGTGCGGAAAAGGTTTCACTGAGAAAAGAGCCCTTCTTACACATCAGAGAATTCACATGAGCGAACCTCCTTATTCATGTTCAGAGTGCGGGAAATGTTTCACTCAGAAAAGAAGCCTTCTTAGACACCAGAGAAGTCATACTGGTGAACGTCCTTTTTCCTGTTCAGACTGTGGAAAATGTTTCACCCAGAAAGAACATCTTATTACACACCAGAGGAGTCACACGGGTGAACGTCCTTTTTCATGTTTAGAGTGCAGGAAATGTTTCACTGAGAAAAGAGCTCTTCTTATACACCAGAGAAGTCATATGAGTGAACCTCCATTCTCATGTTCAGAGTGCGGGAAATTTTTCACCGAGGAAAGAGGACTTGTTATACACCAGAGAATTCACACAGGGGAGCGTCCTTATTCGTGTTCAGAGTGCGGGAAATGTTTTACTCAGAGATCACACCTGCTTAGACACCAGAGAACTCACAAGGGGGACCGTCCTTATTTATGTCCAGTTTGCGGGAAATGTTTCACTCAGAAAGAAAATCTTATTACGCATCAAAGAAGTCACACAGGCGAGCGTCCTTTTTCATGTTCAGAGTGCGGGAAATGTTTTACAAACAAAGGAAATCTAATTAGGCATCAGAGAACACACACCTGCTGATGACAACTGGACAGTGGCATTTAAAGTATTAAACTGTGTTTGATAACAAACTGGAAATATCAATGTTAGGAATGTTTTTTTTTTTTGGTGAGCATTTTGGAGATGATGGCACCCAAATTTTGAGGAAATTGAGAAACTTTCCCGCACTCTGTGATGTTTATAGCCCTTTAGTAAATGGACTCCTTCTCTTAGACTCAGCGTGTAGCCCGTCATTTGTGTTATGTTTCCAGGTGCCTTTTGATGATTTAGTCCAGTGGTCTCCAAACTGCCGGATGTGGCCCTTTGCTTGCTTTTATCTGACCCTCGGGGCACTATTCCTCCCACTGACACCAATGATGGGGCACTATTCCCACTGACACTAATGATGGGGCACTATTCCTCCCACTGACACCAATGATGGGGCACTATTCCTCCCACTGACACCAATGATGGGGCACTATTCCTCCCACTGACACCAATGATGGGGCACTATTCCTCCCACTGACACCAATGATGGGGCACTATTCCTCCCACTGACACCAATGATGGGGCACTATTCCTCCCACTGACACCAATGATGGGGCACTATTCCCACTGACACCAATGATGGAGCACTATTCCCACTGACACCAATGATGGGGCACTATTCCCACTGACACTAATGATGGGGCACTATTCCTCCCACTGACACCAATGATGGGGCATTATTCCCACTGACACTAATGATGGGGCACTATTCCTCCCACTGACACCAATGATGGGGCATTATTCCCACTGACACTAATGATGGGGCACTATTCCTCCCACTGACACCAATGATGGGGCACTATTCCTCCCACTGATACCAATAATGGGGCACTATTCCTCCCACTGACACCAATCATGGAGCACTATTCCTTCCACTGACACCAATGATGGGGCACTATTCCTCCCACTGATACCAACGATGGGGCACTATTCATCCCACTGATACCAACGATGGGGCACTATTCCTTCCACTGACACCAACGATGGGGCACTATTCCTCCCACTGACACCAACGATGGGGCACTATTCCTACCACTGATACCAATGATGGGGCACTATTCCTACCACTGACACCAATGATGTGGCACTATTCCTCCCACTGATACCAATGATGGGGCACTATTCCTACCACTGTCACCAATGATGGGGCACTATTCCTCCCACTGATACCAGTGATGGGGCACTATTCTCACTGACACCAATGATGGGACACTATTCCTCCCACTGACACCAACAATGGGGCATTATTCCTCCCACTGACACCAACAATGGGGCATTATTCCTCCCACTGACACCAACAATGGGGCTTTATCTTCCCATTAAGCCAATGATGGGGCATTTTCTCCTTACACTGGCCACAGTCCGGCCCCCTCAAAATCTGAAGGACAGTAAACTGGCCCTTTGCTTAGAAAGTTTGGAGACCCCTGATCTGATCGAACGCACGAGGAATTTGCAGATTTTTTAATATATATATATCTTTTACAGACAGTTATGGCAGGCATCGTAACACTGCCGCCCAATCAGAATCCATCTTTCACAGAAGATCCTTTTGGTCACTGCTCTGCTTTCCTGGAAGGTTGGCTTGTCTTTGGTTCAAGTCAAACGAAGATAACTGATGTATCTTGATATTTGACTATAATTACTCGAGATTTCGACCTTGGTATCAGGAACCAGTTATTGTGATTTTGTAACGTATACAATAAAAGCCTGCGCCTTACAATGTTTTGTTGAGTCCATTTTTTTTTTGTAAATTTGCTTGGTTCCAAGAGAGTCTTCCATTGGTGTTTGATTAATAAGGTGGGCTGTTCAGAAGGTCCAGGTCCGGGAAACATGGAGACGCTACGAATGCCTCATAGGATGTTCCCTCATAAATTGCCTATCACCACATCCTTTGCCCATCGAAGGGTGGGGGTTTGCTATAGATTATTCGCTCATAAATTGCTTTTCTCCACATCTGTTGCCCAGTGAAGGGTGTTTTTTTTTGGGGGGGGTTCCTTCCAGAATCTGGAAGCCCCTTTGGAGTAAGGAGCCCCCAGGGGTTACAATGTTACTAATTCACAGAAAAAAAAATAGTGAACATAAACACCCTCACCACAGAAAAAGTCCTTTATTAACAAAATAAACAGTGTCGTCTGATTTAACTCACGTCATCAAGGGATGTAGATCCAAAGTCAGTCATGATGGACAACAACTTGCCGAAATGACCCATGGCACAATGATCTGTCTGGTAGTTGAAAGTCAAAACAACAGCTTAGAATCTCCTCCATTATCTCACAAAGGTTCTTCTACACTATCTCACAAATGTTCTCCATTATCTCACAAAGGTTCTTCTCCATTATCTCAAAAAGGTTCTTCTCCACTATCTCACAAAGGTTCTTCTCCACTATCTCAAAAAGGTTCTTCTCCACTATCTCACAAAGGTTCTTCTCCACTATCTCACAAAGGTTCTTCTCCACTATCTCACAAAGGTTCTTCTGCACTATCTCACAAAGGTTCTTCTCCACTATCTCACAAAGGTTATTCTCCATTATCTCACAAAGGTTCTTCTCCATTATCTCAAAAAGGTTCTTCTCCACTATCTCACAAAGGTTCTTCTCCATTATCTCACAAAGGTTCTTCTCCACTATCTCACAAAGTTTCTTCTCCATTATATCACAAAGGTTCTTCTCCATTATCTCACAAAGGTTCTTCTCCACTATCTCACAAAGGTTCTCCTCCACTATCTCACAAAGTTTCTTCTCCATTATCTCACAAAGGCTCTTCTCCACTATCTCACAAAGGTTCTCCATTATCTCACAAAGGTTATTCTCCATTATCTCACAAAGGTTCTCCATTATCTCAAAAAGGTTCTTCTCCACTATCTCACAAAAGTTCTTCTCCATTATCTCACAAAAGTTCTCCACTATCTCACAAAGGTTCTCCTCCATTATCTCACAAAGTTTCTTCTCCATTATCTCACAAAGGTTCTTCTCCATTATCTCACAAAGGTTCTTCTCCATTGTAAATGTGACATATATTCTCCTCCATCACCTTGCATCTCATATATAGTATGTTCTCTTCAATCATCCTAAATATCACACATTCTTCTCCATCGTCCTACATCTTATATCTGTTCTATATCATCCTACCTCTCACATTTGTTCTTGTTTATCATCCTTCCTCTCACATGTATATTCTCCCCCATCATCTTACATATCACGTATGTTCTCCATCATCCTACATCTAACTTAGGTTCTTACTTTTCCACGTGTTCTCCTCCATCCTCAATCTCAAACATGTTCTCCATCCTACATCTCATACATGTTCTCCTCCATTCTACATCTCACAAATGTTCTCCTCCATTCTACATTTCACACATGTTCTCCTCCATCATCCTTAATCTCACATATGTTTTTCCCCATTATCCAAAATCTAACATATGTTCTCCATCACCTCACATCTCATATATAGCATGTTCTCTTCAATCATCCTAAATATCACACATTCCTCTCCATCATCCTACATCTTATATCAGATCGTATATCAGATGTTCTATATCATCCTACCTCTCACATTTGTTCTTCATCATCATCCTTCCTCTCACATGTTTATTCTCCCCCATCATCTTACATATCACACATGTTCTTCATCATCTTGCAACTCACATATATTCTTTTCCATCATCCTACATCTAACTTAGGTTCTTCCTTTTCCACATGTTCTCCTGCATGCTCAATTTCAAACATGTTCTCCTCCATTCTACATCTCACACATGTTCTCCTCAATTCTACATCTCACACATGTTCTCCTCCATCATCCTCAATCTCACATATGTTTTTCTCCATTATCCTAAATCTAACATATGTTCTCCTCCATCACCTCACATCTCATATATAGCTTGTTCTCTTTAATCATCCGAAATATCACGCATTCTTTTCCATCGTCCTACATCTTATATCTGTTCTATATCATCCTACCTCTCACATTTGTTCTTATTCATCATCCTTCCTCTCACATGTTTATTTTCCCCCATCATCTTACATATCAGACATGTTCTCCATCATCTTGCAACTCACATATGTTCTTCTCCATCATCCTACATCTAACTTAAGTTCTTCCTTTTCCACATGTTCCCCTCCATGCTCAATCTCAAACATGTTCTCCTCCATTCTACATCTCACACATGTTCTCCATTCTATATCTCAAACATGTTCTCCTCCATCATCCTTAATCTCACATATGTATTTTTCCATTATCCTAAATCTAACATATGTTCTCCTCCATCACCTCACATCTCATATATAGCATGTTCTACTCAATCATCCTAAAAATATCACACATTCCTTTCCATCATCCTACATCTTGCGTATGCTTTCTATCATCCTTCCTCTCACAATTGTTCTTCTTCATCATCATTCCTCTCACATATGTTATCCTCCATCATCTTACATTTCACACATGTTCCTCATCATCTTACATCTCACATATGTTCTTTCATCATCCTACCTCTCACATATGTTATCCTACATCTCACATATGCTCTCGCTATCATCTGAAATCTCACACGTAAACTCCTCCATTGTCCTATATCTCACATTAGATATCCTTTGTCATCCTACATCTCACACACATTCTGCATTCTATAAATCCCATATGTTCCCCGCCATTATTTTGCATCTCACATTTGTTCTCCTCTATCATCCTACCTCTCACATTTGTTCTTCTTCATCATTCTTCCACTCACATATTTTCTCCTCCATCATCTTACATCTCACACATGCTCTCCATCATCCTACATCTCATATATGTTTTCCTCAATCATCCTACATTTCACATATGTTCTTCTCCATCATCCTACCTCTCACGTATGTTATCCTACATCTCACATATGATCTTGCTATCAATCTCATACAAAGGAAAATCCTTCATTGTTCTATATCTCACATTATGTTCTCCTCCATCGTCTTACATCTCACACATGT